TTATTTGTAAGAAAAAATATTAATTTGTTTCTTAAAAACAGTGATGTTCACACACTTAATACAAGAAACAAAAATAAACTAACTTTACCTGCTACTAGGCTTCACAAAATCAATAATTCATTTAAAGGTCTTTGTGTTCGCTTATACAATAAAGTCCCAAGCAATATCCAAGAGTTAAGCATAAATAAATTCAAAGATAGTATAAAAAAAGCACTTATTAAAAAAGCTTATTACAAAGTGTCTGATTATATTACAGACAAAAATGCTTGGGTTTGAACTGTTCCAATCATTTCAACAGGTTTTCTATAGTAAATAAATCATGATTGTATTGACGTTGTAATAACATAATGATTTGTAAATGTTGTTACATTATGCTTTTAATGTTGTGGAGTTTTTTTCGCTCGTTTTTCTCCGCAGCTAAAAAATATGTCCTATAACGAGTGGTAGGGAAAAAAAAAATATTTGGACGATTCAAAAGTGTTGTACTATACATCCAATTTGAATAAAGATATATTGATTTCTGATTTCTGATTTCTGAATAACCGCCATGATGTTAGCCGTGAGGCTTCATCACTCTTCAGGGAACTTAATTAGCGACCAAACAGTCAGAAACCGCTTGCATGAAGTGAACCTTCATTCCCGAAGACCGCTACGGGTACCACCTATAGCAATGCACAATCGTAGGATTCGATATCAATGGGCTCTTGAACACAGAAATTGGGCAGAAGAACAATGGCGTTTCGTGTGCTTTTCTGATGAGTCTCGTTTTGGTATGAGACCGGATACAAGACGTATACGACACTGGAGAACCCCTGGACGCCAACAGCGATTAAAATCCTGCCAGGAAGTCCATCCTTATAGTGGTGGAACCATCATGGTATGGGCGGGTATTTGGATCGGCGGAAGAACTGAGTTGATTTGGATCAGAGGCAACCTCAACGCTCAAATTTATGCTGAGACGATTGTATCAGACGTCATCGTTCCTCTACAAGTGCAAATCGGTCCCTTATTTCAGTTAATGCATGATAATGCACGACCGCACACCGCAAGAGTTGTAAGACACACTCTCGCCGCAGCTAACATCAATGTCCTGCCCTGGCCTGCTCAGTCGCCAGACTTGAACCCGATTGAGCATGCATGGGATATGCTACAGAGAAGAGCTCTGCCGAATATGGAGGGTATCCAGTCGCAAGAAGACCTTTTTTTGTTGTTGCAACGAACATGGGCGGTCCACAGCGTGATTTGGATGAACTCATTTTGAGTATGCCAAACCGATGTTCTTGTGTTGTTAGTGTTCGCGGTAGAAATACGGATTATTAATTGTTTAAGTTACCCAATAAAATTTTAGAGAAAACTGTTATTTCAGTCTTTTTTTCGAACTTTTGTGTTAGTGGTTCAAATGTCAAAAATCCCTTTATTAGGAAAATGGCAAATTTCTTTATTAATGCAAAGGTGACTTGGTTTATCGTTACTGTGACAAACGAAAATACTTTATTTGATGAATCCTTAAAGAAAATTTTAATTAATATCAATCAGGAGAAAAGTTATTGCAAAAATATATGTTGATCCCTAGACACTTTTGATGTGTGTATGTGTGCGTAAGATTTATACATTATATTAAATTGCAAACGAGCTACAGCACAAGAACAACAAAAAATATCAACATAAAACATTCAATGGAAAAGTAATTTGACATGCATAAATATATTAGACATAAAACAAACAGTCTAGTCATTCCGGTGTATCCATTTTTTTAAAATCCGATTCATCTTTAATGAAATGGTAAGGAGACCCTTCTTTTTCTCTAATAAATATCTTGCCATTTGTAGTCCAACATTATTTATATTATTTACTGCTTGCGAAAACACGAAAATAAGCGTTTCATTTTAGCAGTAAGGTTTTCACAAATCAAAATTTGTTTCGAGGGCCCACTTATACCGATTTGTTCCGTCATAAGCTTGGAGTGGTCTTTATCATATTTCCTGTATGTCTTCATTACAGTATCTTTAGCAATAATGCTCACAAAATCTTCAATGACAGTTTTGTTGTCCGGGTTTCTAGTGGTGATACGAAAAATGTCTTTGACGTCGTTGGTCAGTATGTTGGCATTTAGGACCTTACCAATTTTGGTGACTGCTTCAATCAAGCTCGACTTAGACTCGGTTTTATTAACAGGTTTTTATTTCCAAACAAGTTCATCGGACTCCCCTTTCCATGTTCTCTAATTTGAGTTCAAGAGATTGTATATACTCCTGTTGATGTGTATTTTTAACCTTAAGCTGATCAACCTGCTCTATGAGTGCATCATACTTGGCCGATAAAAAATCAATAGACGCTCTAATGTCCGTGTTTTGTGATTTAATTTCATCAATTGCGGTATGATTTTTTTCCGTCTAAGATTCTTGTTGGAGTTTGAGATCAGAAATCATACCTCTAATTTCAGATATAAAATTGTTTAAATGTATTTCCGATGTGTTGGTTCTCTTTCGTTTGAACCGCCTCGATACACTCGAGTTAGAATTAGATTGCTCCTCCGGTATGTTTTGTACATCATGTTCTGATGAACCATGTTGTAGAATAATTTTCGGCGCAGGTAATTCATCTTGCGTGTGAGCTACATTCTCTATGGGTGCACGGCATTCTCCGTGTGACGGTGGGGAGTGACGTAGTGGCATGTTTGTTAGTCAAAAGTACCAGGACCCAATAACTTGTATGTGCTACACGTAACCGTAGAATCGGACGGAGCTCAGCTTAAACTGGACGTTTGCGAGGAATTCATACAAAACAGCTTTCCTTCTAGCGTAACTTGATCTATGTTAGCCTTGAGGTTCGGTATGAGTAAACGAAACGTAACTCACGTAGTTCGCTCGCACTTTTTCGGCTCCGGCGCGGGTATGCGCTCCTGGTATAATGGTCTTAATAAATTTTTAATATTATTTTTTATTGTTTTATATAAAATTTTAACACAGTTTACGAAAAATACGTCTGATCGCCTCAGTTGTCCGGAGGGAAGGGGAGCTATCGCTACAATACATTTATAGTATATTGTTTTTCAAGTAGAGTGAAATACCCCATTGTATAGAATCGTCAAAGTTTCTACGAAAACTAAGCAGCGCCCTACCGGACGTAAAATTTAACGGCTCCTTCCATACAAAATTTGACGATGACGATACGAATACGCATCTTCTTCAATTCGTCTTTATACAAACGAATACTTTTCTTGCACCGTAAGCGCCTTTGTAAACGTTCCGTAATCGCATTGAAACTCAACTGTTATCGCCATGAAATTCAACTGTAACTGCGCGGAGCCGAGTGCATTTTAGATGTTCAATTAAGAAAGAATTAGCCAGCGTGAGTTTTAAATAATTTGGCAGCTGACATTGCTCTTTCACCCTTCCGCCCCTTTGCTAAGGCTCATATTAGTATGCACTGGAACATAACGACCAAAGTATTTAGGTACTTCGATTCGCGAGTATTTCGAGCGACGGCCGCGACATTCTGTGTACGTCCGTATCCAGATTGTTCTTGATAATATGTATTTTTATTAAAATTAACAAACTTCTTTTATATTATACTGAATAATTATACACAGATAGAATACTTAAACATATGTTATACTAGCGGCCGCCCGCGACTTCGTACGCGTGGAGTTAGTTGTTTGCACATACTTTTTGACCCCAAAAGGGGGTTTATTTCTAAAGATACATTATTAGTACACCTCTACATCGTCTATAGAGCATACATGTTAAATTTCAAGTCTCTTACTTCTAAAACATAGGACTTTCATACAAACTTCCAACCTCCGTATTACGCTCTTAGGGGTGGAGTTTCGTGGAATTCGTTCTTAGCCCTTATCTACTCCCTATAAGGAACCTACTTGCCGAATTTTAAGTTTGTAGATGTTATATTTTCTGAGATTTGTAATTAACCAGTGAGTGGTATTTCGCTGCGACGTTGTCTGTGTGAACGCTATACAGCACCAAATACCTACGATTACACCATTTAAAACATTCATTTACCCGATTCTTCTTTACATTTCGTATCTACAAAAACATTCTTCCTGTGGATGTCCTGCAGGGTTCTGTCCACCCACGGCCTCAACTGCCTTCCTATTGGCCATCGTACACTCATCCCATACAATCAGAGAGCAATCCTTAAGCACGTGGCCCTTATCACTGTTACGTGACACACCACAAACAGGCGTTTTGGCGCTCTCTAAATCAATGGGAATTTTAAACATGGCATGTGCTGCCTTGCCACCTGGAAGCAGTGTGGCAGCGATTCCCGACGACGCTACAGCAATGGCAATTTTGCCTTGCCTCCTGACCTCTGCACGTATGCCAGTGGTAACAAATGTTTTTTCTGTTCCACCAGGAGCATCCAAGAAAAACATTTTACCCTGGTTTTGCCCAACGCTTTCAAGGACGGTGTCATAAATTTGTTTTGCTCTGATGAGAACAAAGCGACATGGTCATTTCGTATTTTGGTCATTTCGCCCGGATTTCGTCTTGATGCGGTGATGATTGGGGAGCTGGTAACCCATATTCGACCAGTGGATATGGTTATTAACATAATAACAACATTCAAATATGCGTCGTTAGATTACACGTTGTTACAGAATGTGTTGAAGAAATAAAGGTTCACTGCTCGTTCTCCGTAGGTGATAGCGTGATAATATGTAGCCTATAATATGTTGACCCGACATCTTAATATTTTTTTGTGTCAAATTTGAAGGAAATCCATGCAGTACTTATTGAGTTTATCTCGGACATACATGCAGACAAACAGATAAATAGACAAATATTCTAAAAACTATATTTTTGGCTTCAGTATCGACTGTAGATCACGCCCCAAGTATTCTTAAAAAAAAAATATCAATGTACAGTTTTGACTTTTCTACCATTTTATTATATGTAAAGATAAATAAAAAAATACAGTTACTTGTTTTTCTATAAAGTTATAACGTCAGTATGCTAATATTATTGTTAAAACAAAATTAGGGAGTTCAAAAAAGCAGAAGAAGCTCTAAAGAAGGCTAAGAAGGACGCGGAACAGAACAGCAACTCCTGGAAACAGCGAGAACAAGAATTCGAAACTCTACGCCTAGAAGTGAATGAACTCGAGCAAGCTGTGAAGAATAGCAAGCAAGCGTTGCAAGAGACGAAAGAAGCGGCTACGGCGCTCCAAGAAACCTTGAAAACGGCTAAAGAAGAACATTCCAGTGCTACGGTAAGTGATTTTGTTCAAAAACAAAGTTAATTAATTAATATTTTTTCAACACATTTGCTCATAAAATGTATTTACGGAGGTTGAATACATTGTTCGAAAGTTCAAAATTACGGCCCATTCAATGGACGCCCATAGATATCTTTCCGCTTTTTTCAAAATTTCGGTCCAACCTCCTTGGACACGCTCTTAATCTATACCTTTGCCACAAGAAAGATGTAGTTCTAATTATCACCACCCGCTCGTGGCGCCATTTGCAAATGCTCGCCATTTTCTTATTAGAAAAAGTTTACTTTATTACCTAATTAGGTATAGGTACTATGTTCTCGTAAATGTGTTGTAAAATGTTGTATGACATTCGTGCGGAATTAGTATTTACAAACTCGTGACTATGGTAAGCCCGAGACTGTCTACTCGTTTGTAATACCCAACTTACCGCCCTAATATCATTAATAACTATTAACACTCGTACCAATTAGCTTAGCCCCAAAGTAAAGGTAGTCTTGTGTTATGTTATATAACTCGTGTCATTCTGTCTCTCTCGCACGGTACTGAGGATACATGTGGGAAAGGGTCATAATATCTTACGTCGTCATTTGAGATTCCTTTCTTTACACGAGTTATACTAAGGTAAAGGATTGAAATACTTACTATATGTATACGTAAGTATATATTTGTAGAAATATATTTGAACAGCCATAACTTAGGTATTAATGCTCATATTTTGATACAAACATTTGCCCAACCGACATTCGGACTCACCACCTTGAAAATCGGTAAACATACCACTTCGATATCGATGTCTCCACATGCAAATTTATTTATATTAAATAAGAATCGCCAGTAATACTATAGGAAAAGGATCTTTGAAGAGCTTTTTTCATTGAAGCACATGCTTGTTCATAACTAACATAAACATTTCATACTTATTTTATCGTTTGCTAACTAAACGAAATGTGTATTCGTAGGAAAGCGTCAAACAGATCCAATCGCAAATAAAGAAGCAAAAAGCGGAAATAGCGAGTAGGAGCAGCGATATAGCACGCCTGCATCAGAAGAAAGAACAACTTGCCAAAAATAATAGTGACCTCGAACTCAAGATAAAAGAACTAGATTACAAAATAAAGGAACTGCAAGCTGAGGCAGCGGAGTGCTCGAAAAAGGTTAGTTTCTTATGGATTTTCTTTTTTTTATAGGCATGACTAAAATGTTAATGAGTACTTTGTATTCGGTCTAATTTTACTAATTTTAGAAAGGTGAAATTTTGTTTATTTGATTGTTTTTGCTCAGACACGGAAAAACCAGTGAACAGATAAGAATAAAATTTTATATTGTTTTAAACTTTCATGGTCACTAACATTATAGTAATATAAGTTATTTACGGGATTGTTACCATGTACCTTGTTTTTAGCGAGTTTCCGATATTTTGCCACTGTTGCAAGCGCCATGATCACGGAGTAACTGAAGTAATTGCGGATAGGTTGTTATTGGCAGATATATCGGTCTACCCTCCGACGAAGTCTTTTATTGCGTTCGATACCCATAACAATCCCGTAAATAATTTGAATCAAATTTTGATACACGTACAGCTTATTACCTGGATTGAGGCACAGAATTCTTTTAATCCCACAAACATATTTGGTTGCTGTGGGATTCTTATGAAACTAAATAACGCGAACGAAGCCGCGGGTGGAAGCTACCGGGATTCAAATCCCAGAATTTAAGTTACAGAAGTTCCTTGCACCAAGTAGTCATCAAGAAGCCAATTTCGAACAAATAATTTATAAATATATGAGGCATATGAGCTACATAAAATATGTATTATTTTATTGCTTTATCTTACTGGCAAACCACAACTTTCTGTTCGTTTATCTGTCCTTAACTGCGAAGGCTGTCTGGAGAGATCGCGAAAAGGCAATCTTTGCCCAAATTATTGATTTTTATGGTATGTGACCAACAATAAATTAGTCAATCTATCTATCTACATATACACACTCACTTGAACAGATCAAATCATTAGAAGAGGAGCACACTTGGATTCCGTCAGAAAGGGAATACTTCGGGGCCGCCGGGGGATTGTACGACTTCGCTGCCCGACAGGCGAGCGTCGCCGGACAAAGGTTACAACAGTTGGCGGCCAGAAGAGATAAACTGGCTCGTGGGCTTAATGCCAGAGCTCATACGCTACTAGGAAAGGAGGAGGAACAGGTAATTACAAAATTCTATAATAAGTGTAGATTTCAGAGTTTCATTTGAATGGCTTAGCTAGTGGATCAGTCATTATCGCCAGCCAATATTTGCAGGAATCTAGCTGGACAAAACGAAATGGCTCGCGAGCTTAATGCATGAGCTTATACGTTACTTGGCAAGGAGGTGGAACAGGTAACTACAAGAATAAGTGTAGATTTCAGATTTCTTTGATTTACGTGGCAACTAGATTTATCATTACTGTCATATATCTGTAAAAATATCTAGGTGTGAAAATCATAGGTTCAGGCTCAATGCTAGAGCTTAGACGCTACTCAGCAAAGTGTAGGAATATCTACCTACGAAATTCCATTATAAGTGTGGATTTTAGATGTTGTTGTATGACTTGCCTATCGTTAAATGATGTGGCTACTGGATCAGTACTTATCGCCGGCACATATTAATGAAAACGGCTAGGCGGGAAAATCTTAGGTCGCGGATTAAATATGGGAGCTCATACTCTTCTTGGCAAGGCGGATGATCAGGTAATTAGGTTTATTACTAGTGTTGATTTTGAAATGACTTCACAACTTGATCAATGAGTGTGTCTGGCCAACGTTCAAGTTTAGGAGCACACTTTCATTCCGTCTTAAAGGAAATGCTTCGGGGCGACTCGGGGTTTGTACGACTTCGCTGCCCGACAGACAGACGGACAACAATTACAACAGTTGGCGGCCAGAAGGAACAAATTGGCTCGCGGGCTTAATGCCAGAGCTTATATGCTATTATGACGGGAAGAGGAACTGGTAGTTAGTTTATACATTTCATTAACAATACAAAACTCTTTATTTTACACTACAGAAAACACAAAAGACCCACTTGCAGCAGATTTACTAAATTTCAATGGGACATTTATATTTTGTATTATAGGAAACTATTTGATATATCAATACTTCCGTAGCTAACAATTCAACATGATAGGTTTTTCCTTTCGTTTAAATCTAACGGAGCGTTTAAGCTAAGCAGACCTTTTGTCAAGGCTTACATTGTTTCTTTACAAAATAGTAAGTGACCATTCCTGCTACCTTTAGGTATATCACTTCCTTAGGATGAATCGAGTTTTAGTTAAATTATAATTTTGCAAAATTGCTGCAAGTGAACCTTAGTACATAAAGGCTGGATACAGTGCAATAATGGGCGGTCTTATCGCTAAAAGCGACAACAATTTCGTTCAGATAACCTTAGGATGGAAAGAAAGCTGAAGAGACGGCGGTGTAAATAACTACAATAAAATATAACAATAAATCATAAAAAAATGTGTAAAAAATAAGTATATAAAGAACAATACATCAGTGTTAGTATGTAATGTTGATTTATTTTATCGCTGCAAACAGACATTTGAATGTCTGGTCGTCAAATGGTTTACTCTTAAAATCAACTTCACTCGCTATGATAAAAAAAATATTTAAGTTATGAGCGGGATGGTGCGCCGATGATGATCGCGGTATATCGAAACACATACACTACTGTTTAAACTGTACCAAGGCATTATTTTTAGCACAATCCTAGCCTAATATCAAAATGTATATTTTCCTAATACAAACTTTTGTTACAGTATCAAGACGTCATGCGAAAAAAGAAGATAGTCGAAGCTGACCGCGCGAAATTGGTGCAAGTGATGGCTGAACTCGATGAAAAGAAAAAGAAGACCCTAGTGACGGCTTGCGAGCAAGTGAACAAAGACTTTGGCTCAATATTCAGCACCCTATTGCCCGGTGCTCAAGCGAAACTACGGCCACCACCAGGCTTGACTGTTCTGGATGGACTTGAGGTTAGCATCACCCTCTTTTTGGGGTGCTGATGGACTAAAGTAAACCAAATTCTAATTACTCCGTCAGTTAGATTATTATCAAAAAAAGGACACTGTCCTATCTTTTCTATTTTAAATCAACAAAAAAATTATGAAGTTAAAAGCGCGTCAAAGTTTGCGCGTGACGCCACTTCTAAGTAAATATCGTCGTGATACCAATATATATATACCAAGTCGTGACGTCATGCGATATTTCAAGTCAATATATCTCTGTAAAGTTTCGATTATGTGAATAAAGGCAAAATACATGCTCAATACTGTCTGATAATCTATCTACCTGATAGACGTATAAAAAAAAAGTTAGTCGTCATCCCTATTTTAAATATTATTGTGATTACATATTTCGATTTGACATAATAAACAATACATGCAGAACTACAAGCAATATCTCTCGCAGGGTAGTTTTTAATCTGGGGTTTCCAATATTTTTTTATTAATTTTTTTGATACAATTTTACGTTTCACGATGTTATATATATGTATAACGGTTTTCAAGGCGTCGCCTCCTTAGAGGTCCTGGATTCTAATCTCGGTGCAGTAAAAGATTATAATGACGAATACAAAAATGTGTACCTATGACATGACTGTTTTTATTTATATTACTACAAAACAAAATGTATACTTATATGTACTTATTTTATCTATCCGTTACAAGCCTTACAGTGCTTACCTGAGGTTAGGTTAAGGTTGCGTTGTTTCATCTATAGTTAAATTTGACTATATATATAATTTTTACACATACTTTGCATTTGACGTACAATAACTAAAGTTAATTTTAACTATGGATGAAACAACGCGGCCTAATTGGCGTGTGTGTCAGACAAATTATTATTATCAACTTTTAATTTTGCAGGTGAAAGTAGGCTTCAATAACACTTGGAAGGAGTCATTAGGCGAACTAAGCGGCGGGCAACGTTCCCTAGTGGCATTATCGCTGGTATTAGCCATGCTGTTGTTCAAACCGGCGCCTCTGTACATTCTTGACGAAGTAGACGCGGCTCTAGATCTGTCGCATACGCAGAACATTGGCCTCATGTTAAGGGACCACTTCAAGCATTCTCAGGTATATTTTTTAATTAAAAGGTTTTATTTTATTTGCAGTTTAAACCCCTTATTAATAAACGGGAAAGCTTAGACTAGTTACTCCGTGTTTTGTTTACATCACTCGAATGCCATTTGTCATTCAATGAACAGAGACAAAGCACGGAGTAACTCCAAGCATATTCTTCGTTTATGAATAATGGAATATGTGTTTATGTAGGTTCGGGTCTAATCTATCAAATTAATTTTAAACGATAACTACTTTGACTACTAGACCTATGTCCAGCAGTGGACGAACATGGGTTGATGATGATGATGATAACTACTTTGACCTACTGTTGAGATGGAATTTTGTATCTGCCATACGAGCGGAAGGTGCAGGGTCGCAATTCTCATTTCAATCGAGTAAATCTCGAAATAGACATTATTGTTTCAGTTCTACTTTGACCAGAAAACTTCGAAAGTAGAAGATTTTTCGATTGCTGTATTCTCATCACTAATCGAGATAACTTCCAACAAATTTTGGGTCAGTGGGGTCAGCTATTATAATATGAAGTCTAATCGGGGGGTCAGGTGGGTCGGGGGTTCAGGGGCGGTCGGGGGGCCGGCAGGGGGAGTCAGTGGGGTCAGAAAGTCGGGGGGTTACGGTTACGTTCGCGGGGGTCGAGAGTCGGGGGGGGGGGGGGGGGGTACGGTGGGCACTAGGCCACACACTCAGCCCCCACGCGCGGGCCATCCTGCGCACGTCTGCGGGATCCACGCAATACCTCGAGAGATCCGGGAGGCTGCTGTGTGCGGAGAAGCGGTAGAATCCCTACACGGGGACCCCGCGGCTTCGCACTAAGCAGCTTAGAGGGTATTCGCAGGGTTTTAAGCGGATATTATGAGTCCTCAGTGGGCAGCCACTGCGCACGGTTCGGCGGTGTGCCTATTAAAGCCGCCGTCGTCTGTAAATAGAGGTTTTGCCTGCGTTAACAAAATAAAGGGGGGGGGGGGGTCTGGTATTGTCTCAGTCCAGGCGGTGTTCATCGATTTATAAGACGTTATCACGTCAAAAATTTGAATATAAAGTGCAATGTGAATGAGAATGAATGTTGCAAACTGATGAGACGTACTGTATTGCTTTCGACATCACAAACTTCACTGTAACGTCTCGAACCGACCACTCTTAAGCAATACGAATGGTTTACGTTCGAAAAATGTCGCATTCGACATTATGAGAATAGCACTATTTATTTTATACTTTAAATAAAATCGGATTCGAACTTTTTTTTAAATTCTTGATTATCTCGAGTGCATAAGAATTGCCCCCTTGATTCGAAAGCCGGTCTCATGCCTGGGCAGAGTGGATTATTTTCTTGTAAAATTTTCTTTACTCAGTTAATGGAATTCGCATATCATATGTATTTTATTCTGTTACTAGTGGTCCGCCCTTGCTTTGCTTCGGTGTAGAGCTGTGTTGAACAATGACTTTCTTCATAATAATTATTATAAATCTTCCATTCCAAGTAAAAACTTCGTTGCGTAGTTTAGGACCCGTTGCACCGAATGCAACATTGCTCTGCTGTTCCGATTTGAAATATTCTTTTTGTATTGGACAGTGCACTTATCAAGGAAAGCTATAGGCTATATTACCAGGCTACGACGAGTAGCAGCGGAGCATCGATGAAAAATGTTGCAAATATTCCATTTGTGAGATTCCGTTGCGTGCGCTGGGAATACGGTAAAAGTTACACAAAAAACATGTATAAAGGAATTGTTTCCCTTAAAAAGTTCTGTAAAAAAGTTCACGACACCCTATGTCCATATTTTAAGGTTGACTCACTATAAACCTTTTTCTTCAAATTAACGCGGGTGAAACCGCAGGGGACCGCCAGTTGTGACATAACTGTAATAGTTATAAAGACATAATTATGGTATCGTAGACTTTTTTGTAGATATTGGTATCCTCTATAAAACTTAAGTACATCACTTTGCTCTATAGTCAATAACTTCCGCAGCGTACGCGATATAAGACTATTTTTTGTTTTTTTTACACACGTTGGGTTACATTATCGAAGTTTTTATACGGAACCCTAACTTTTTTGAAAATACACTATAGCCTATATTAATCAGTGATAATGTAGCATTCAAATAGTGTTTTTAAAAAAAATCGGACAAACATATTTACATACAAATCTTTCCTCTTTTAAATATTAGTACAGTAGTAATTGCCGTTATTTGACATAGTATCTCTTTTTCAGTTCATCATCGTATCGCTGAAGGACGGCATGTTTAACAACGCGAACGTTCTATTTCGCACCAAGTTCGTGGACGGCATGTCTTCTGTACAACGTAATGCTAATCACCGCCGATGACCATAATGATTATAACATTGAAAACTACCTCTCTATGACCTCTCGTTTGAACTTTTTGTCTGGCCTAACGAAGCGACTGGCCACCGAAAATATTCTTAACGAGTTATAAAATAATTAAATTTGTAGTCGAAAGAGGTTGTACAGGAGTACAACCTTCGATCAACATTACTATAGATAACGGGTCAGCGCGTAAATACCGTCTTGGTAAATATAGCCTCACTCGATACGTGAGATCTTATTATCAATTAGTTCTGTTAACACACAGCCAATGTAAGCACGCGTTACGATGACAGAATATGCATTCAAAAGTTGCAAAAATAACGACCAAATATGCAATGTTTCTGTTGGAGTATAACTACATGTAAAATACACTACATTTTATGCTTTACACTAATAAGTAATGTCATATTTCTTATAAAATCACAAAATCAAACTTCCGCTAAGAATATTTGACAACTTTTTCCAACAACCATTTCGCAGTGACTAAAAGAATCGATGTTAAAACGAAGTAACTCTCTGGTCAATAACTGGTAAAAATACTTTATTTTGTGGGTCATAAGGTTGAATCTATTTTTTTTATCTTATCTTTTTTTCGCATAATTTATTGTCTTGTTCGTTTTATAAGATAAAAGGTCGTATGTACTAAATTACATTTTGTTATTTGTAAATTGCTATGTGACATGGTTATTATTAGGTTCAATTTAAACAGTTTTAAAACATTTGTCTTTGTTCATTGGGAATCGAATGTGGCTGCATAACTGTAAACACACCCGCACAGTGTTTAGCTTTGATTTTGTATGCAACCCGTTATCTATAGAATTGTTGATAGATGTGTACAACGTAGTGCCAATCACGGCTGATGACGTTAATACCACTTAATACTCTCAAGATTGAATCAAACAAAGCTGTTTGAACTTTTTGCTTATCCTAAGAGAACGGCTAGCCACCGAAAATACTCTTCGAGTTATAAAATAAGAGTTGCATTTTAAATAGCTACGTGCATTTTGGAAAAATGCAAGTAGTGAAAAACTATGTCGACTGATAGATATATATGGGAAAGTCTATAAAAACCAGGAATACCAAGCATTTATAACAAAATTACCAAAATGTCGGCATGTGTTAGCGGTTAGATATTTGGCATTTGTCAGAAATCCGATTAAATGAGATTGTATATTACAGAATGCCTATGCTGATTTTTTTGGAATATTTGATGTTGGTCCTAAGTGTGATTTTTTCTGTGTAATCTACTATATAAAAATAAGTCGGGTTTTCCTTCCTGACGCTATAACTCCAGAACGCACGAACCGATTTCCACGGTTTTGCATTCGTTGGAAAGGTCTCGGGCTCCGTGAGGTTTATAGCCAAGAAAATTCAGGAAAAATTTAAAAAAAAAACTTCTTTTAATCACCAAACGAAATGTTACATAAAACGAAGCCATCTATCTGGTGGCGAAACGGAGTTCGCCTGGTTTGCTAATTTAAAAAGCGGGTATAAATTGCTCAATGTCATTGAAAAAAAATGTTATCTGTTGATATACGTACCTATATTTATAGTAGGCAATGAAAAATGGTATAAAGAAGGACAATTAATGAGAGACTTAACTTTGTCTTCGGGTGCTAGTATTTCAAGATTTGTTAAAAAAGAGGGACTTCTTAGATTGATATGTATTGGTTGGTGTAATTTTAAAAGTATGCGGTTGTAAAATAAAAGATTCACAAACAACTGTTGTAGGTTAAAGGACCATCTAAGTAGATCACATTACCAAAACAAAGTCGATTTATCTCAAAAGTCTATTAGAAGTTATATGAAACAGCATTATAGTTCTCTTTACTCTTAATGTATTCTTTAGAAACGAAACATTATATTTTGGATTAATGAAAAAAACTAGCCATACTTTTTGTAAATACTTTTTATGTACTTTTGAATGTTTTGTATATTTTAAGGTGAGAATACAATTAATTATAGATTTAAGATTTGTTCAAATAGAAGTACAATATTTTTGGAAATGTCGTTTCATTTTTGTTACCCTCATCATTATCACTAGCCTATTAATGTCCCCATTGCTGGGGTACAGGCCCTCCCTATGGATGGAATAGGGAGACCCACCACGCGGGGGGTCACGGCCTAATCTCCCTCCCAGTGCAGATTGGATGGTGCTAACGACTGCAGATGCAGCCGAGACCAACGGTTTAACGTGCCTTCCAAAGCACGGAGGAGCTCGGGATTATAAGTTTTACCCATCTAACTAACCCATCTTAACTTCCACGATCGCAGACCGAACGGGCTATCCATCTGCGCCATCGAGCTTCTCGGTTTCGCTTACTACGTACTTATCTTATTACCAACGAATTAGAAATGATATTAAAAGATTACAATCTAATGCCCGGGTTACACTAGGCTAGTTTCTCAAGTTAGGATAGCAAGCTATGCCTCTCGCTCTGTGTAGACAAAACTATCTAGCTTCATTTCTAAGCTAGTACCTTAGCCAAACAAGCCTGAATAGTTTTTTATAGGATGGAGTTCTATTTTTCAGGCTAGTAGCGTACCACTGATTTTACTCTCCTGGCTCGTGTCCTAGATATGAATCGTTACGTGAATTTTAAGAGCCCTATTACATTTTTTGCAAAAAATCGCCTCGTTTACCTCCTTAGAAAAGATTTTGACTATTTCCAAAAGAAGTAAACAGTAGATTTATTCTTCTTATTGTAAGTTAATGTAGAATATTTGCAAATACTATTTTCCTTTTTTTGTACTGATCATTCTACCGCAACTAGTTTACGGAAAAAACGATAATATGCACAAATTCAAACGTCTGAATCTCTAAATAATGTTTAATAAATTAGATCAAATTAATTACTACGGCATCAGAAATATGTTTCTTTTGTAACATAATGTATTAGAATTTTGATTTTCTATCCCATTAATTATCAAAAAAGACATCTAACCTCCGTGTCTTTTCACAAAAAATAATGCAGGCTTACCTCGTATTTTGTATATTGATTAAATAGAATTACTATCAAAAACTTTCATAAAACTAATCTACCTTCATTGAACTACTGAAATATGTATATTTTTATAACTAGTTCATAAATAATTATTTTATAACACTCGAAACATCACCCGTAAAATGCAATATTACTAGTGCAAATCTACCTACGCGCCGATCAGTACGGCACCGGCGCAATTTTGTAAAAGGGCTCTTAAGAAACGTAACGTAACCAGTTATTTCTATATCGTCACTAGTTTTAAACCGAGTGATTTTTCGTAACCAGATATTTGTTCAAGTAGTATTACAATAAACTTATTCTTATAGTCGGCACCTATCTATTTAAATTCGTCACTCATGAGTACGTACGCTGTAGCTAGCTACAGTTATTTAGTTATAGGGACTTAGTCACAAAATTTTAACAAGTTTTATATTTTCGACGACCTCCGTGGCCAAGTGGTTTGTACGCCGGGTTTCTTGGTGACGCCGACTCGAGAGGTCCCGGGTTCGAATCCCGGTGGGAGCAGATGTTTGTGTGATGAATACGAGCATTTGTATTCCAGTCATGGATGTTTAATATGTATTTCTATATAAATATACTTATATATGTACTGTATATGTATGCTATCCGTTACCCTAGTATCCCATAACACAAGCCTTACAGTGCTTACCTTGGGGCTAGGCTAATTGGTGTGAGTGTTGGAAATATTTATTTATTTATATTATTTTTGTAGAATGAACTTTGACTTTGACTTTTGACTGACTGCATTTAGTAATGGTAGCGTACTAGTTTCATGTGGCCGGCGAAGCTAGTTTTCGTTTTGTTTATCTAACAGCTGTAATATGAATTTTAATCTTAGGGTAGTTTAGTGTTGTACTTCCTGTCACGACCATGGATGTTTCTGTTATATCTTTAGACGGTAAAAATAGTCAAGACTTTGTACTATTATTTACCACTGTTTTGAAAATTTCTACCAAGTTGATCTAGGAAATACGATGGTCGTGCTGAGAAGAATACTTCCTACCACGACCACACAAAAACCCGTGTTATTGTTTAATTTCCATAAAAATACTATTTTTTACGCCTATTTTCGAATTTCCTACTATCTAGTTTCATTTCTATAAAAATACTATTTTTTATGCCTATTTGCGAATTTCCTACTATCTAGATCTTAGAAATATGACTGTTGTGCTAGAAATAACAACTTCGTAGCACGACTACGCCCAAACTCAGTGTTGTTCAGGAAATTTTAAAATTGTATAAAATAGTTCAGAATATTTTACTATTATTTATCTACTCCTATTTGTCAATTTCCAACTATATGGATCTAAGAGATACGACTGTCATGCTGGAAAGAATGACTTCCTACTCCTAGCACGACCTCGACGAAACTTATGTTATTTTGGGCATTTTAAAACGGTATAAAGTATTTTAGAATACTTATTTACTATTTTTTACTTCTATTTTTCAATATAATATACAGATCTTATTTAAATCCCCAGAACAGAAAGCGTTTCAGTGTGTTGTGTTAGAAAGTTATATTTTGAAGTATGTCGGTAGTATTTACAAGATTTAATTAGTAGGATATTAGTAAATAGGAGTAAAAATAGTAGATATTCTAAAATACTTTATACCGTTTTAAAATCCCCACAATAACATAAGTTTAAATGTAGCCTTGGCATTACAAAGGTCGCTAGAACATGGGTTCGAAACTTATACAACTAATGGCAGAACTACACTTATCTGGCGTGTTGTGACGCATCAGAGAGCTATCTGTTTAATACATTTAGTATACCTTGCAGCTTAAGGCTAGGAAAATTTCGACGCGGCTAATAGGGCCGTGGTAGCATAATGGTCAGTGCATTCGCCCGGATAGCGAAGGATGCGGGTTCGAGTCCCGTCCGCTGTCTGGTCCTCGTGGATTTTTTTCTAGTAAACTTTTCTTTAGATTTAAACATCTAGCAGTTATCTAGCTGAGAACGAGAACTGTAGTAACCTAGGAGACTTTTTTGCTCAGCGCGGTCAGTGAACTAATTCATTCTGTTAGTTCTATTAGCTCTATTTGGTATTCGCTCTCAGTCAGTACCCTTAGCACGAACCAATATCGAATTCGTAACGTTTGCGAGTCTGAAATGTCATTGTCAAATGTGTACTGATTTTTAGTTCTCGTTACGTACTTTGTGGCGCTGCTGTTCAAGATTCCATACAAAATTTGACAATGATATTTCGGACTCGCAAACGTTACGAATTCGGTTTTTTTTTATATTGGTTCGTGCTTAGGGTACTGACTGAGAGCGAAGACCAAATATAGAGCTAATAGAACTAACAGAATGAATTGGTTCACTGACCGAAATGCTACTAGTACAGAGCTATCTTAAAAATTACTGAGCAGACAAGACTAGGCGCGATAGCTATGGGATCGATACCACCAGATATTAGAGCTAGTTTCAAATAGTAAAAGTTTCTATTCCCGAGAGCCAGGTGGGCAACAACGCAATTTTTATAGTGCCACTGCCAACGAAATAGAATTTTCACTAGCGATGAATTGCCATTTGGAATGGACGCAATCTAACCAAACCTCATGAATACAAATGTAACCTCCCTGCGTATGGTAACGATAACTGCTTGAGCTTTAGAGACGGAATGACTGGAGTTTTTCAATTAATAAAAGCGTGCGGAGTAGACGCATCTAGCTTTTTTATTGCTAGCGTGTTGACTCGTAGGTAAGTATCTTTTAATCTTGAAGATATTTATTACTTAGGTAGGACCAGGCAGCGGACGGGACTCGAACCCGCATCCTTCGCTATCCGGGCGAATGCACTGACCATTATGCTACCACGGCCCTATTAGCCGCGTCGAAATTTTCCTAGCCTTAAGCTGCAAGGCATACTAAATGTATTAAACAGATAGCTCTCTGATGCGTCACAACACGCCAGATAAGTGTAGTTCTGCCATTAGTTGTATAAGTTTCGAACCCATGTTCTAGCGACCTTTGTAATGCCAAGGCTACATTTAAACTTATGTTATTTTGGGGATTTTAAAACGGTATAAAGTATTTTAGAATATCTACTATTTTTACTCCTATTTACTAATATCCTACTAATTAAATCTTGTAAATACTACCGACATACTTCAAAATATAACTTTCTAACACAACACACTGAAACGCTTTCTGTTCTGTGGATTTAAATAAGATCTGTATATTATATTGAAAAATAGAAGTAAAAAATAGTAAATAAGTATTCTAAAATACTTTATACCGTTTTAAAAGCCCCAACTCATTTGCCTACTCATGTTTGTACCTAAGTAATAAATATCTTCAAGATTAAAAGATACTTACCTACGAGTCAACACGCTAGCAATAAAAAAGCTAGATGCGTCTACTCCGCACGTTTTTATTAATTGAAAAACTCCAGTCATTCCGTCTCTAAAGCTCAAGCAGTTATCGTTACCATACGCAGGGAGGTTACATTTGTATTCATGAGGTTTGGTTAGATTGCGTCCATTCCAAATGGCAATTCATCGCTAGTGAAAATTCTTTTTCGTTGGCAGTGGCACTATAAAAATTGCGTTGTTGCCCACCTGGCTCTCGGGAAATAAAACTTTTACTATTTGAAACTAGCTCTAATATCTGGTGGTATCGATCCCATAGCTATCGCGCCTAGTCTTGTCTGCTCAGTAATTTTTAAGATAGCTCTGTACTAGTAGCATTTCGGTCAGTGAACCAATTCATTCTGTTAGTTCTATTAGCTCTATATTTGGTCTTCGCTCTCAGTCAGTACCCTAAGCACGAACCAATATAAAAAAAACCGAATTCGTAACGTTTGCGAGTCCGAAATATCATTGTCAAATTTTGTATGGAATCTTGAACAGCAGCGCCACAAAGTACGTAACGAGAACTAAAAATCAGTACACATTTGACAATGACATTTCAGACTCGCAAACGTTACGAATTCGATATTGGTTCGTGCTAAGGGTACTGACTGAGAGCGAATACCAAATAGAGCTAATAGA